TCTGATTGTGTTACTGATTATTTTTGCTATTTTTTCTTTTAATTTTTAATTTTGATAACTTGAGGTTAGTTTTGGAGTGATTATTATATTTTGTCCGGAAATTTTTACCGAGTTTTTTCTCTTTTTTGCCGTCCGTGTTTTGCTTCTGTCCTTCATCTTAAGGGATAAATAAATAAAGTTTATTATTAAGTATTTTTACATGGAGGTTTGATGTATTTGAGCTGCTGAACATGCGAAAGAATAAAAGTTTAAGTGTCAGAATTTATGCTTGTTGTTGTGCAATGTGGCAGAATTTCCTTTTTCCGAACACAAAGAAAACTCTGTCCGGGTTTTCCAGATGAATTCCAGCCGTTTGCACGTGCGCGAGCGTGCACGTTTGGGAAGGGAGCAGGTATTCCTGCAGGCCCCGGGCAGAAAGACGCTTTTTGTTTTGCAGGCCTGAATCCCGTCTCTGTTAACTCTCCCCCTCCTCTCCCTCCCCTCTTCCTCCCCCTCTTCCTCCCCTCCTCTTCCTCCCCACAGAGAACAGAGTCATCCCAGAAGGAGGTGAGTACGAAATGTCCAAATCCTCCATCAAACACTCGAAAAGTTCACATTTTTTCCCTCCGATTTTCTCCGTTAAGGAGAATTTGCTGAATTTAATAAGTGGAATTCTTTATGAAATTTTCCCCAATTTATAATCTGTTTAAATATCAAACATTGTTTGAAATCAATTTAAAAATGAGAAATCTTAAATGAGGACATCTCAGTCTTTCAGCCACTTCTACAGAAGTCACCTAAAAACACCTGAGCATAACATTTTTTACCTTTTCTTTGCTATTTTTTAAAGATGTGTTAATTAAACTGGAATACCAGGTCAAATTCCTCTGTAAATTTAGTCAATAAAGTGATTTTTGATTGCAGGTTAAGAAAATTTTTCTACATAAAATGTTTGATGAGAATGAAATAATTTAAATTATAGATTAATTTATTTAAAATAATTGATTGGATTGGACTGTGTGCTGCTATATTGGACAAATGTTAAGGCTTTTTTTCTTTTGCATAATTTCTTACTTAAATCAAACATGGAGTCACATTTTGAGACTCAGGTCTTCCTCTTATTTCAATTGTTTAAAGACTTGAAATCAGACGCTTTAAATATTTCACAAAAACATAGAACAGGTTTTAGACCAGGTGTAGACCTGTAGGTATTATAGAGAATTAAAAATAATCTCTTTTTAAGTTATATATGTATGTATATATATATATTCATTTATTCTTAATATATATTTATATATACATTTTATATATTTCTTTTTATTTATATATATATTTTAATTTACATTTTAATTTTTTTATTGTATGGAGAAATCAAAATAATGAAAAATCGTTTTTGCAAAGTTCTTAGGAGGATTAAAATGTGCAAATAGCCACAAATGCAGCGTGTGAATGGAGACTGCTGGAAATGCGTCTATTTCTCTAAACGAATAGGATCTAAACTAAGAACCAAAAGCTTTTAGCTGACAATAGCAGGTGTGGTTCAGTCATCCGGTGGAAAAACGTGTTCTTTATCTCTTTTCTTCTGCGTCACCGTCGACTTCTCACCTGTTTGTGCAAAGATATTCTCATTTATCACCAACTCAGCATGGCCTGGAGCAGCATTATTAATTATTATCAATTAATTAGGATTATTAAGGTATTTCTGGTTGTGATTCTGACTAAAACGGGGCTGGATTCAGAGTCTCTGTCGGGCCGTTTGCTCCTCAGCTCCGTATGAAGAGGCTCCAGCCGCTCCCTACTGGCCCTACTCCACCTCCGACTTCTGGAACTACGTGGAGTACTTCCGCTCCATCGGGGCCTACAGCCAGATCAACGAGATGGCCCGGGCCTTCTTCGCCCACCAGCACCTGGGGGACACGCTGGGGTACCAGACCCAGTCCGGCCACGAGCACTGAGACGGGACGAGGAGGAGGGAGAACCAAGAGCAGAATGCATAACTTTAAAAAACAAACAAAAAAAAATCTGTTTCTTGATATATAGTTGTTCGTAGCATAGCCATGCATAGAGACTACAGGTAGAGCATATAGCTGTGTTGTAGCGCTTTATAATCTACTCATTTAATGTAATAAAAATAATAAAAACATTTGACGATAAGGATATTATGCCTAAGGAATCTTTGTGTGTTCTTACAATATCTTTTTCCTCTCTCTTCTCTTATCATACGTTACAGGAGTCCATTTTAATTAGGATTTTATAGATTATTTATCAATAAAAAAATAATTTTTATATTTTTTACATTTTTTTGTTTCATGTTGACCTTCCTCTGTCTTGATTGAATTTTTAATTTCTTTTAAAAAGGAAAAAAGTTGTTAGTCACAACAGATATGATAATATTCTTATAATCTATTAAACAAAATGTACAATAATATGTTCAAATACAGTTCAGAAACAGCATTACGTTCTGGGGGCAGTTCAGAAAATAATCATTTAAATATAATAACATTGTTTAATAAATCAAATTAAGCCAAAACTATTATGGCTATCAGTATCAAGGTTGAACTTTTCTTTGGTATGTCAAGTTTTCATCAAAGGTTATCAAATATATAATAACATTGTACAATTAGCTAATTCGGCGCCGGAAGCGGAACCTTTCAGAAGAGCCAGAAGAAGCCGGACACTAATGAGTGTTGCTCAACTGTAGCTTTTTTACAAGTACAGACCCATCAAGTTTAGCTAAGCTTGCTTATTTGAAGCAAGTCCTTCGCGTCCGTGGCAATAAATCCAATGAAGCCAAAACTATTATGACTATCAGTATCAAGGTTGAACTTGCCTTTGGTGTGTAAAGTTTTCATCAAAGGTCATTAAATGTTTAATTAATAACATTGTACAATTAGCTAATTCGGCGCCGGAAGCGGAACCTTTAAGACGAGACAGGCGGTGAAGCCGGACACTAATAAGTGTTGCGTAGCCGTAGCTTGTTTACAAGTACAGACCCATCAAGTTTAGCTAAGCTTGCTTATTTGAAGCAAGTCCTTCGCGTCCGTGCCAATAAATCAAATGAAGCCAAAACTATGATGGCTATCAGTATAAATGTTGAACTTGCCTTTGGTGTCTAAAGTTTTCATCAAAGGTCAATAAATATATAATAAAGAAGAAGTTCAACCTGCCCAAGGCAATGATGGTGCACTTCTACACAGCCATCATTGAGTCCATCCTCACCTCCTCCATCTCCATCTGGTACGCTGCTGCCACCGCTAAGGACCAGGGCCGACTGCAGCGTATCATTCGCTCAGCCGAGAAGGTGATTGGCTGTGATCTGCCATCCCTCCAGGACCTGTACGCCTCCAGGACTTTAAGGCG